CGGTTTACTGAACGAGGAATAACCAAAACGGAGTTTGGAAATGAAATTGTTATCTTTATAACATCAACAAAATACAATACTCGCCAGCGGCGGGAAGTAGGTAAACCACTGCTAGTGGTGGACTACTAAGACATCATATTACAACCCTCCACCCACACACACAGAACCTCTTACAATCGTGTCCAAGGTATCATTGTGACAGGTATCATCGAATACGAGTGGCCAGCTATTATTATATAGGATGAGTAAATAAAAAAATTATCCTTATTTCCGCCATAACATATCTTTAGGTTTATCACACTGCCTTCTGTTGATGGTTTTATATGTTTCGCAATATTGTAGTCAAATGATCGAGCTTTAAGCTTGATCACGTTAGATTTCTTACTTCTGTTACAATATAAGCATGGCCTCATCGTTAACAGATTGCTCCAGGGAGGAACAATGAACAGTTATCCGGATCTACAGAGAACATGCTTATTCATTGATGATAAATTCGCTGGTTCACCATTGCCATCTCTCGAGCCTGCTGAATCTTCCCGTTAGTGGATGAGGTTGACGAGCGTACTGTTCCTTTTTGCGCGCGTCACGCTTGCCCAGCCACTTTTAAACTTCTCAATCCACTCATGCATACTTCTACGCGACAATGCATTGTCGCCGTATTGCGTTAAAAGATGAATTTCAGCCCCTGACACACCTTCCGACTAGATCACTGTTCTTTGTTCCTGCTTAAACGTTTCCTTTTTTCTTTTTCTTTTTTTACAGTAAGGTACAAGGCCCGGGGGCCACTCGAGGTAGAGAGTTACGTTAAGGGACAGCATATACGGATAGGAGGGGAAGATAACGGTTGACACTAGACTTAAAAAGATAAAGATTGTAGTGATCAGGGAAACATCCTCTTGCGTTTCTGTTTCACAAAGCAGTGGTTAGTGGGAAGAAGCTGTTCGAGTGGAACTTCTCGCCAATGGAATACGGAGGAAATGTGGATGGTTTGCTACGATGTAAGTGGTATGGCGGGCCCTAAACGTGAAGGTTATACTTGGCGGGACCAATGAATGTAGCTCGTCCGAGCACTTTCCATGGAGATAGCAATAGAGCAGTGAGAGACTCACCACATCCCACCTGTGAGAAAAAGGTTTGAGCGTGGAATATAATTCTTATTAAACAAGGACTCGGAAAGGCTTTTGAACTATCAAGACTGGAAAGTGAGGACCGGGCACCTCTTGGCCAAATATAGCAACAGTGCTCCATTTTCGGCCTGATCTGGCTCTTATAAATATAGAGGGTAGCGTGAAGTGTTAGGTATTACTGAAGCGCTACAGGGAGCCGATCATTTTACCTGCATCTTTAGCGATGGGTCGTATAAAAGAGTTCCACCCGAGTTTGGGTGTGAGTTTGAGGCCCAATATTCTCTCAAGGCACGGTGCTTCCTCGAGGTGACATCAATTTACGTGGCTGGCGGTAGTTCGGGTTCTGATCGCCGGTGATGAAATGTAACTAGTTTGGTTTTCTAGGCATTGAAAGTAACCAGCCAGTTTTTTTCCCCACATCAAAGTTTATGCTAAATCTGAAGAGAGGTCAGCTGCCCATGTTTTATAAGTGCGCCCTCATATCGTCGTATCATCGACATAATTGTTTACAAATGAACTTGTCATTTTCTTAGGCAGATCATTTATGTAAATCAGAAAAGGAGCGTCTTTGTTGACCGCTAGGGACTCCGAGGATGGTTGTTAATAACTACCTTCAGGGATCTACCTGTTAGGAAGAATTTTATAATAGAGAAAACTGTTCCAGTGATTCCATAGCTGGAGAGCTTGTCTAGCAAAACCTTTGTGCCACACCTTGTTGAAGGCCTTCGACATAGATAATGCTGTGGTCCTCGAGGTATGTGTCGTAAAGAACCTCATTAAGTCTCTGGTAGTTAGGACGTGTCAGCAGTGGATCTGGTCGATTGAAACCCGTACTGCTCGTCGCACAAGAGGTTGTTCCTATCTATATGCTCGATGATATACTTGTTGATTAAAGCCACAAAAAGCTTACTGATGATACTGGGAAGACTGATGGGCCTATACTGGGAGGGAGAGGAACACTCGCCGCGTTCTTTAAAATCGAGCATACGGTTACCGCCTTCCACAACCTTGGGAAGGATTCCTCCTTCAAGGAGAGGTTGAATAACTTCATTAGGATCGGGGATAATTCTAGGTTGATATTCTAAAGGAAAACTACGGGAATTTTGTTTGAAAGAGTGGATTTCTTAGGGTCAAGTCTTGGGGTTTTCAGAGTTATTTGTTTTATATTTATAGATTCTTCTTTTGTTTGAGGTTGACAGGATAGGATTTGTTTTGACTATGGGTGTTTGGTTTATATATGGTATACTAAATTTTAATAGTTCTATTATTTTTTTAATTTATTTATTAGAGTTGTAAGTTTTTGGTTTCTTATTCTGTTGTTCTCTTGTACGTCATTTTGGGAATTTGCCATTTTAGTAGTATTTGCTATGATGTTGGAAGTGAGTTAGTTTCGGCCTATTTTCAGTTCCTTGGAATGAGTCGTTTTGTTTAGGTTTTATTATTATTATTATTATTGACTCTTCCTTTTTCCAGATGTTACACTCTTTAGAATCTAAGTGTTTTTTTTTTCAGTTTGGGCATAAAGGAGGCCTTTCACAGGGTAACTCTTCATGATCAATCTTAAATTCCCCACATATTCGACAGTTTGGTTTGGTTGGTTTTGTTTTACAGCCTATCAACCTTAATGGGTTTTAATGCCGACAAAATTGTCATTGTTGGTAATATTTTTTTTCCAAAAATCTATTTCTGGTAATAATTTTCCTTCGCTGGTAAGTTTTTTTCAAAAATGTATAGCTGGTAATTTTTTTTTTTTAAATGTATTGTTTAAAAAATTATTTCTGGTTTTAAAACCTATTTTTACACTTTCATAGTGTTTTGACCCAGTTTGGGTATTAGCTATTTGACCATAGCTGGGACCCTAACAGGTGCTACCACCCCGGGTCAGGATGGATCCGGGAACACCAGCAATTAAGAGGTGATTCCACCCTTCTCAAAACCTCCTGATCAGAGTCCTTGCCGTTGGACGTAGTTTATCGTCTTACTCAGGACGCTGATGTAGTTTGTCGTCATACCCAGGACGGATCTTCGACAGACTGGTATTCTCGTACATTGATCTGGTAGATGACCAAATTTCTGACATTTGTGACATATACGAGATTTAGGAATATATGGCCCGACCTTGGATATTATATATCCTATTTTTATTTCTTTCAGTGGGGTAGGTTCGTTGAATGTTAAAATGTATGTGTTTGTGTTTATAAATATGCCATTTCTTTTTATTTGTATTCTTTTGACATCTGTTACGCCTTGTTTTTTTAGGGTGTCATCATTTTTATTTTTGTCCAGAACGCAGAGTGACAATTCTGTGGATTGTATTACTCTCTTAGAGAGTTAAGAATTTGGTGGGGATAAGCCTTTACTTTCATGTTTATTTGATTGATTTTTAGTATGTTTTCTTTTATTTTTACATGAATTAGAAGTATTGTTATTATTTTTTTTTTTTACTGATTTTGGCTCTGTAATGACTTATATAATCTTTTTGTAATACGAAAAGGTGACCCCATTGTTATTTCACCCTCTAATGATTCTATGATTATGAAAACTGGAAAGCGTCCAGGATAAGACGATAAACTACGTCCAACAGCAAGGCCTCTGATCAGGAGGAGTTGAGGAGCGTGGAACGGCCTCTTAATTGCTGGCGTTCCCAGGTTCATCCTGACCGGGGGGTAGCCCCTGTTAAGGTCCAAGCTATGGGCAAATAGATGAGCCCTACGAACTGGGGTCAAAGCACATATTTCATAGTGCTTTCACTCCAGTTCGACAGGTAAATAGGTATTAAAACCTATCCCCCCCCCCCAGTTCCAGGGGTAAATAAGTTTTAATACTTGAAATACTTTGTAAAAAAAAGTTATTACCAGCAATAAGTTTTTGAAGAAATATTATTATCAGCAATACATTTTTGAAAAAAAGATATTACAAGCGAAACATTTTTGAAGAAAAAAAAAAAAAAAACTTTACTAGCAATAAAAACCTTGTCGGCATTAAATAACCCATTGAGCTCGATATACCGTAAAACAAAACAAAACAAAACTGGAAATTATGTTTTCCTGATATTTCATTGTCACTTTCTGTTTCCGAGTTTTCATACGGCCTCTTGGATCGTTTATAAGAGTTCGTCAAATAATTTTGTTTTTGTATTCACCGTCTGTGCTCCCCATACGCCTCGGAGTTCCTTCTTAAAGGACGCTGTCAATGGGGGGGGAGACTAATCCCATTCGCCTTGATTTACCAAGGCTACACAGACGGTATAGTCGTGCTGAGAGCGGCGGCAAGTACCCGCATTTCCCACCATATCTACCCGATTGGATTGGGTTCGGCTATTCCATGTACCCGTCTAACCCAGGTTGTGAAAATTACTCTCCATTTTTATACCAGCTCAGGAATCACTCAGTCACCAGGACTCCGTCCTCTGGCGTCACGGGTCTCCACCCACGGCAAACAGGTGAACCCCGTTGAGGTGGATTTTTAGTTTTGGGAATCGGTTTTCGTAAATGTGCGCTTTATATATTGTAATTTTATAGGTAATTTTGTATGAACATGTAATTTAATCATAGTTTGTAGATTATGATTTTTGTTGATAGTTAAGGTGTCTATTTTTTTTTCTCAATAGATTTTTTGCATGGAAAAATTATATTATTTTCCCTGAAAATACTATCCTAGGTTTAAACGGATAGGTTGTAGGCTTATCGTATAAGCTGGCGATATATAGGTGAAGTTTTCCTCATACGAATAATTAGTTTCTAATCCATCTTGCTTCCTATACTATGCCTGGTAGTAATTTAATGTCCTACCCAGAGTATGGGTGAATTTGTTCTGTGAAAAGAACCATGATTGCAATTTTGCTTCTTGCCCAGGATGTGGATGCAGTTTAACGACAGGGCAATAGAATGGGATAGATAGATAGATAGATAGATAGATGCTCATGCAGCTATGCATATCTATTAGATAGATGCTCATGCAGCTATGCATATCTATTAGATAGATGCTCATGCAGCTATGCATATCTATTAGATAGATGCTCATGCAGCTATGCATATCTATTAGATAGATGCTCATGCAGCTATGCATATCTATTAGATAGATGCTCATGCAGCTATGCATATCTATTAGATAGATGCTCATGCAGCTATGCATATCTATTAGATAGATGCTCATGCAGCTATGCATATCTATTGATAGATGCTCATGCGTATGCATATCTATTAGATAGATGCTCATGCAGCTATGCATATCTATTAGATAGATGCTCATGCAGCTATGCATATCTATTAGATAGATGCTCATGCAGCTATGCATATCTATTAGATAGATGCTCATACAGCTATGCATACGTACATATCTATTAGATAGATATGAACGGAATGGGATAGAGAAACAGAAAGATAAAAATATATACATAGATGCATACATAAATGCTTATACATAGATACATATCAACGAGATGAGATAAATAGACAGGCAGATAGATAGATAGATAGATAGATAGATAGATAGATATTTTATTATTATTAGCATTTTTATTATTCTAAAGACTCGTCAATGACTAACTAGTATGATACGTACCTCAAGGAACGAAATTCAATATTCGATTCATCATTTCCATTTACCAAAATGAAAAAGATAGGGTAGCAAATAAATCGATATGTTTTGTTGGGCGCACCTATCGACTATTTAAGATCGCTTTCAGCACTAAACGTCATTTATTATTCATCTGATTTCAACGCCTGTCGGTTGATAGAATTACGAAATTATTTTCCTTATGAGCCAATCCTGTCTGTGTCATTTTTCATTCGTCTGTCCACTCGACGCCATTTTGTTTCAAACGCCGAAATCTCGCAATCATCGTCACGTGCGCTTTTGCGAAAGGATTTTATATGACCGATATATATTACTACCAACCGTTTGTAAATGTCCGACTGAACAAATGCGATGTTTTAAGTCAATTCCAATATATCATCTACGAGGGTGGGTAGGCTGAAACGTTGATAGCCTGACTATGAAGGAGATAGACTAGAGCCGTGAAATCTTGTAGTTATTAGTTTCAACTCTTCTTGTTCATAACTGCATTGTATCTGAGTAAACTGAGATTTCATTGTTCAAGGTCATTTTAAATGTGGGGTGCTCATGTACTTGAACATATATATGGGTCAAGGACAGATATTGTCCAGTCCATGCAATTCTGGTATCAAACTCTTTTAGTGCAATGAGGAAAGCGCTGCCACGGTTGTAATGTACCGAACCAAATGCCTTCTCCTATCTACGAGGTTGGACTGAAAAGTTGATCGGCTGCCTATGAAGGAGAGAGACTAGAGCCTTGAAATCTTGTATGCATTAATTTAAGCTCTTCTTCTTCATAAATACATTGTTTCTTTTCAGGTAAAATGACATCTGGCTGTTCAGAGAAGACTTCAAATGTATCTATTAACGACTTCCCTTTAAAAATGAACAACATTTGGCATCGTCGCATTATCAAATACGTACAGAAAAGCTTTATCAACAGTGCATCGCTGAATTTAAGGCGGGAAAGGTGAATCTTGAAGATGATCCAAGGTTTGGACATCCTGAAACTGCCACTATCGAGGAAAACATTGATCGTGTACGTCACATGGTGATAGATGATAGGCGAATGACTATAAATCAAATAGTTAATGCTATTAGCTTATACCGTAAGAGAGATGAGAATATTCTGCACAATGAATTCTGCATGACGAAGGTTTCTTCTGGCACCTGATCAAAAGCGCGACAGGCTGATCACATCAAGGGAAAATCTAACATTGTTTGAGGCAGATCCAGCTGGTTTCCTTGAACGTTTCCATAACCAGGATGAGTGTAGGTTTCATCACTTTGATCCAGAGACAAAGAGAGAATCCATGCAGTGGAAACATCCTTCCTCACCTCCTCCATAGAAGGCAACGATCGTTTCATCTGCAGGGAAGGTGATAGCCTCAGTTTTTTTGGGATGCGAAAGACTTTGCGTTTATTGACAAGCCCCAAAAGGAACATACCATGCAAAAGGGTTTGTGTTCATTGACTATCTTCAAAAGGGCCAGTCTATTAATCGAGAGTACCATGCCAATTTGCTGAAGCAGTTACGAAAAGCTATGTTATGCCATAGTACCTATTCTATTGTAATAGACTCTCCCATAGACAATAAGGAGTAGCAGTAGCAGTTGTGAGTTCGTCTCAATGGTGTTCAGCAAGTCAGACGATATCGGACATTGAAGTACCAACCATCACAACTAGATTGCTGCGTCATTAACTCTTATTTTTCCAAGTTCCTAACGTTTTGTACGTCGAACCTAATTTAGTACGACTTATTAAAATACAAGCCTCCACTGTGAAAACTACTCCACAACAGGCTATCAAGACCAAATGCCCAGGAAAACTAACTAAATGGCTCTTGTTTCATCAGAAGAATGCTTGGTTTCAAAGGCTTCTGTCTTTTTATATTCTGTTTTATTATTCTCTATCTTTAATGTTGTGGTTTTGACCTGGTTGATTGATCACTCTCCCTAATCTGTTCCCCAAAATGAAAAAAAAGAATACTTGACTAAAAACCAGTATCGCAGAGATGATGACGTCATATCCGGTGCTGTTGGATTTTGGGATCAACAGAATGAACAGTCTTCTTTGAATAGTTAGATGTCAGTTTATATTGAACGAAACACCGCAGTTATTAATAAGAAAAGTTGAAATTAATGCATGAAAGATCTAAGATCTAACAGCTATATTTAGCTGTCCCCACCACGTGGGGTAGCATGTGGCACAAGGCCGAGTTTAATGTGGGTCATCCGGGCCCTTCGGCAAAGCTTCGTCCGAGTTCCTCCCCGCTAATGCAGAGAGTTAGACAGACGGCGGTTGCTGTAAGTTTCATACAGATCTAACAGCTCGTGCATCAGTCGCTCATAGTCAGCCTATGAACTTTTCAGACCCCCCCCTCATATTATACTGAATTTATTATTCTCAATAAACCTTATTCTGCACTTCGGGAAAGATACTGAAACTTTAGACAAGTTTTTATGCTAAAAATTATCTATTCTTTTCTGGCTTTCGGTCATATAACGTTGAAACACTGATTCTCGTACGATCACCGAAGTTAAAGAACGTCGAACCTGGTCAGTACCCAGATGGGTGACCGCCCCGAATAACAGGTGCTGTAAGCCTCGATGTACCGGTGGTGTAATTGATAATGGCTTGGAATTAAAAATCGGACAGCCAAGTTCCAATTCCAGTTGTGTTATATTCATTTACGCGCAAATACCCTTGAGAAGGTATGAATTCACTTCTTATCCCCCCAACTATGGATTAATTAGTAAGGGATGAAATAAAAAGTTTGATAAGCTGTAAAAAAAACAAATCAACCAAATGATTTATTCTGCCAATTTCATCAGTTCGTTATAGAATCATTAAAACATCTAAAAGAAATATGAATATATGTATTATATAGAACATCTTTAAAACTTAAAATTGCTCCTGGCATTAAAATTGCTCTAAATGTGTTAGTATAAAATTAATTAGCATTATATATAACTGGCTTTTGTTTGTATTAATATGCAGTTTTCAGATCCACAGCAACATTTAATTCCTGACATTTTAACCAATGAAAATCCAGAGGCTATGGTTACTTACAACGGAATTGACTTTAGATATAAATTTATCCTAATCAGGATTAGACAATGATATACATATAGGGTTGTCAATATAATTATCGACATCAGCAATTTCAAACATACAAGTCGGTATAATGGCCGACACGAGTGTCAATTTTATTTTTTTTAATCATTATAATTGATTTTTTGTTTATTTTGATATAGTATGCTAAATATATATTTATTTATAAATATTATAAAACAATTTATCTTTAACGATTAACTACTAACCTGATTACCTGGGTCTTTTTCTGGAACCAGACATGTAATTTTTTTCTAGCAAACAATGGTCTTGGCAGAATGAGACAATGAAACAAGTTCAATCTTCATTCTAAATCTAAGTGATCTAACTTACAAGTAATCAACATGTCATAAAGGAATAAAGTGTCGCTGCCAACACTTGAGTTTTAACATAGATCGCCAGTGAGCAAACGCAGGCAATCCCATTATTGAATTAGATGGATCACGTGACCATGGGAGAAACGCATAAGTAGGAAGTTGCGTAACGTCTAAATGATTACGTTTTCTAGTCTATCCTTTATTACAATACAGATCGCAATTTCTAGTCTATCCTCTATACTATTTGGATCTGCTATTTCTGCTGTATCCT